CACGTGAGCCCCAGTGCCTAGCTCAGAGCCACCCATGTGCATTGTGGAATAAGTGAATCTTCTGGATCCAAAAATCAGGACGTGTGGTCTGCCACAAAGGCATGTCCTTCAGAGGGCGGCAGGACAGAGCATCTGAAAGCAGGACGCTGGCTTGGGAAGGCCAGGAGGGAGCGTCTCCTAAGTTTCCTTCCCCTGTGTCTGGGGGCTTCCCGAGAGTCTGCCGTACCCCAGGAGTGTCCAAAGAAGCCATTCCTACACGTCTCACCCCGCTGCAGGCTCTCAGATACACCTCAGCCTTGTTTCCCAAGAAGCCCCTCGGGCGGGCAGAGGGGCCGCCCGTCCACCATTACCTCTCCGCCTCTCTGGGAAATCTCCAGGGGGCTGAGCGAGCCCGGCCCTCCTCCGAAAGGGGAAGCCACAATGCCACCCGTGCCCTCCTTCAAACCACAGGAATATCAGCTATTGGCAAAGGCGAGAATGTCACTCTCACTCAAAGGTCTAAGTATATTTCGTAACCAAACTTTGCCCCCTAAATATTCTTTGTTTCAGGCACCACTTCCCTACCTACCCCTCACCAAGAGGTAATTAAAGTGACCCCAAATCATACCTAACCAGAAGGGCGATGGTCCCTTCAGGAGACACTATGATTAGGGCCTAATTGCTCTAAGTGAGCTCAGCGACTGAGCCCGTCTGAGAAGCTGAGCAGGCTGGGGAAGTGGAGAGGGGCCGACACCGCCTCAGAGCGAGCGGCTGTCTTTCGGGGCAGGTGCAGGCTCCAAAAGGCCTGTTCTGTTACTGAACTATGCGGAAGTCTTGAGCAGGCACAGCTCAGGTGTGTCATCCCGAGGTCTCCCACACTTTTTCCCAACCAGGTGATAGCCAGGACCTGGCCTGCCTTGCCCAGGGTCGTGCCGAGTCAGCAGGAGGGAGTGAACACCAGTATTTTGCAAATACCAAGTTTAACATATATCAACTCATTTCATCCTCACAGCCACCCTGATGGGTTAGGTATTATTAACCCTATATTACTGATGAGGAAACACAGGCTCAGAGATGTTAAGTAACTGGCTCAAGGTCACCCAGCCAGCCAGAGTCCTAATTGAAGCCCAGGGGCCAGATCACTGCACTTTCTCACACAGCAGTGAACCTAACCACCAGGAGGCTAGAGGGTGACCTTCTGGGGAGAGAAGGCAGCTGGGACTGCCCTCCCAGGGCCACGGCTGACCTGTGAGCCGACGAAGCCGATATGCAGTTCTCCATGTTCACCCCTGGCCCCTCGGGCGGCCACGCCATCTCCAGGCCAGGGCCCCTCCCACTTCCCTGTGCCCACCAATCCCCTGCCGGTCTGGGGTGGGGCCTGAGAATGTGCGCTCCTCACGTGCTCCCAGATGATGCCCATGCTGCTGGACCCCTGACCACACTTCAGGTAGCAAGAGCCTGGGCTTGAGTGGACTCTCCCATCCCCCTTAGCTTGTATGTATTCCCATCCCCACTCTCTTGCTGGAACTCATCAGGGCCTGGCATTTGGCTGCCACACATTTTGGTTCCTTGAGTTGGAGTGATTAAAAACAGTGAATGCAGTGGGGTATGAGGCAGAAAAGGAACTTCTGGGCTCTGTTTCCAGCTTGGCATTGGCCCTTTTCTTCCTTATACACCTCTTGGCAAAATTATCTAAACCAATTTATCTCAAAGGAGTCAGGCTGGAGCAGCAGGCTCTGAAAGTGTCCGCTATTTACCGGCCTCCATGGGGAGGGGCTGCCATGCCTGAGCACAGATGCTGACGTGCTGAGCGGAGAGGCTCGCTGCAGGCGGGAGCGCGAGAACCAGTGACTCCTCTGCGCAGAACCTTCCCGGGGCTCCCACATCACTCAGAGAAAACCCAAAGCCTTAACCATGACCCATGAGGCCCCATGCCATCTGGCCCTGCCGCCCCTCTGCCCTCACCAGGCTTCTGCCCTTGAAGTCCCCTCCCTGGAACACACTCCACCAGCTTAGCTCTTATCTCAGATGCTGCCTTTCCATCAAGGCCTTCCCCGGCCATCCATTTAAACAAGCCCCACCCCCCATCCCCCCCCAAAGCACTTTTCCGTCTTCCCCTCTTTATTCTTCTCATACCACTTACCACCATCTGACATCCTGGACATTTTACTTCATGATTTTATTTAAATGTCTCCCTGCCCCTTCCCTACTAGAATGTGGGTGTCATAAGGGCAGGGATGTTTGTCTGATGTGGTCACTGGTTGATCCCCAGTGCCTAAAACAGTGACTAGCACATTGGCAAGTACTCAGTATTTGTGGAATGAATGAATAAGTGAATGAATGAAGGGCCTGCCTATTAAGGTGTCAGGCTCTGTGGCTAGCCCTGGGAGTCTTTAGACTCCTTTGAATCTCATAACAACCCCTACACAGTAAGTCTTTTAATCCTCATTCTAAGATGAAACAACTGAGGCTCCGAGTGGTTAAGTAATTTGACCAAGGTCACAGAGTTAGGAAGTGGCAGGTCCAGGACTCAGGCACTGGTCTGGCTGGTTCCAAAGACGGTGCCCTTTTCTGCCTGTGGTTGCCTTCAAGGTAACTGTCTTAGTATGATAAACATGACATTAACTCGCTGTCCTTATTCTAAACAGCAAATGTTTTAGCTTAGGGATTTTACCAAATCTGTCCAAAACTTGAGGTCTAGTGCACCCAGGTGGGTCTGGTGCCCCCAAAGCCAGGAGGAAGTCCCACTGCCAGTCAAGGGAGCCCCCATCAGCCAAAGAAAGGGAAAGACCCTCCTACAAGCACTTCTCTGAACCCCAAAGGAAAGCCACAATAATTGTTTTGTTTCATCCTTTTTCTTTGCTTTTTCTTTTTTTTTAATCTTCCTGAGCAATCTCTTTGACCTTTTCTAGTCTGTGTGACCTTTGGCCATCAATGGCTGCTGTTTACCATGTGGGTTCTGGGGCAGAAATCTCTCTCTCATGAGTTTCCCCAAACCAAACTTGCACATGGACCCATGGACCACAGTGCCCTGTACAACCTGCTCCCCCCGCAAGCCCCATTAATGACTGTGGCTTAGATTCTAGGGACCAAGCCTTGGAAAGGGAGCCAGGCCTAGAGGGGCCGTGAAGGTAAGATCAGCTCATGCCACTGAAAGCCCATCTACCCTCTCATTCCAGAGACCACCACAGTTTGAGTAACCCCACCTCCCCTACCCATCATTCTCAGTCACATGATTTTGTCTGTTTTCTTCAAATCACTTCTCACTATCTGAAGCTACCCTGTTTACTATGTCCATATTTGCTTACCATCTGTCTCCTCAGAGGAGGTAAGTGCATGACGGTAGAAGCTTGGTCAGTGCTATTCACCACTGCTGATGCCTGGTACATGTGGGCATGCAAATATTGGTTGAATGAGTAAATAAAGCAAGGAACAAGTGGGTTCTGAAGGGAAAAACCAGGGGGCTCACAAATGAACTTATTTAATCCTAAGATCAACCTGCCCTGAAGGTATTATATGCCCACACAGCTGGGAAGTGACAAAGGTACGGAGAAGAGAAGCAAGAGGCCAAGCTCGTGACCCTTACAGGGACAGCAAGGTCAGGCTGCCACTGGCGGCCAGGGGACTGAACACCTTTTCCTCAAATGCTCGCGTAACTGGGAAGAGTCAACATGTTCCACATGCTGAGCCCAGGTAGGTCTGTGCTTCCTCCATGCCCCTGGTATGATCATGGCACCTGCACCTGCCCAGGAAATACCGGCCCAAAGCAAGGTACCACAGTTGAGAGTGCACAAAACCAAGTTCTTATTTTGAGGCTCTGATACTATAAAAGGCACAAATATAAACCATTCCTGAAGAGGACACACGACCTCCCTCTCCATTTCTGGGTAGTTTGAGGCGAGAAGGTTGAAAACAGTGTGGTGGTCCGTTCTCAGAACAGTGTCATTTATTCATTCTTTCATTCATTCATTTGTTCAGCCAACATGTGCTCACCCAGCCTCAGGAAGCCTGACATGAAATGTGACAAAACCTCTGCCCTCTCGCCAGTGCATTGGTGCCTGCGGTTTTGGCGGGCACTAAAAGACCAGCAAATATTAAGGATACTTGCTTCCAAAACAAATAAGGACACGTGGAGCTGTGCTCTGAAATGGGATTTTGGATGCAATTTTGATTCCACTGGGCTTGAGAACCAGTTGAGTCAACCGGGTCATAGACTAACTCCAGGCACCAGGTTCCTACTCCTTGGATCTCTCCGACCCCCTCTTCCTCTAGGCCCCAAGCCCCTCACACACCCAACTCCATTTCCCAACATTCTTCAACCACATTGCCACCTCTCTCCACAATATTCTCCATCCTGACTCCCCTGACTCTATTTCCCCCATATTCCCAAACCCGACCTCCCTAGATCCACAGCTTCGACATCCTACCCTCTGGACCCCGGGACACATCTCAACCTGATTTCCACCACCACCCCACACACACCCCAAGCCTGGACTTCCACCTGGAGCCCCTTGAACGCCATCTGCTTACAGAGCATATTTCCCAGGGGTCTCTGCTCACCACCCCCATTCGCAGGACCCCCGTAAATACATCGTGACTCCGAGTACACCATACACACACCCTGGATCCCCATACATCCACACCCGAGTCCTGAGGACGCACCCTCCCCCCATCACCTCCAACTTCTCAGAGCCCCTAGGCCGGCCCCTGACCCCCTGGGACCCCAGTACAGCAGCCGACTCCGAGACACCCACCCCCTGACTCCGCAGAAGCCCGCCCTGCACACCGGAACTCTGGGACGCCCGGCACAAGCCCTCGGCCGCAGGAGGCCCCCACCGCGCCGCTCCGCGGACCCCGGGTTCCCGAGGCCCTGGCCCCGCCGCGCACATCTCCGGGCGCAGCGCCCTCGTGACCCGGCCGCGCCCCTGCCCGCGCCCCCGCCGGGCCTCGGGGGCCCGGCCCGGTGATCGGCGGAGGCCGCGGCGCCTCCAGTAGCCCAGGCCGGAGCGCCCGGCGCGTACCGTTGGCGATGAGCTTGGCCGACAGCTGCTTGACGAGCTCGGGGATCCGCTCCCACTGGCACTCGGAGCGGCAGCGCTCGATCTCCGTCTCCAGCCGCGAGCCCGCCTTCTTGGTCGCCATCGCGGCCTGGCCGGGCCCGGCCAGCCC